GAAATAAGTAATAATTGACAGAAATATGGGATTTTCATTTATAACATTTCTAAATATTTGGGATAGATATACAAATTTTACATTTTTAAATAAGGAGGACATATTAGTAAAAAAAATATGAAAACCCTCTTTCTCTTCCTTCCAAATTTTCAACCAAACAAAAAAAAACGTGTCACCTTATTCATCACTATTACTATCAATTCTATTCAACCAAACAAAAAATAAAAGAGACGTCTTCCCTTCCCTAGACATGTCTCATTCATCTTATAGTTTTTTCCAACCCTCTAATCAAACAGAGCTTAAAAGAAGGAATTGATGGGCAGTACCAGTACAGTGGGTTTGGACTTGGCCTGTAAAACACTACTTGTAATCTAGTTTAAGACAAAGTATTTTATATCTCACATTTCGTGACATGGACGGTCAAAACATTCTAAAATTCATTACACCGTTAAAAAGTTGTAGAGATTAGTACTTAGAATTCTCTAAAGTAATTTAACACTGTTAAGAATACTTTTGGAGAATTTTAGAACCCAATACTAGAATACTTGCCACCAATAAATCATAATCATGCATTGAAATGTGATACATCTATATAAATAGGAGAGCTCATTTTTCCCCTCCAACCAAACAAGCATGGTAAAACATTCTCCAACCAACACAATTATTCCATTACTTTTATATTCTTTGTGCCAGTTACTAGTGTGCTAGTAAGATGTTGAAAAAAATATATAACCTCAAACATATCAGTTGTGTTTTATACATAAAACATATCACCCTTTTGGCACAAGAACTACCATCGTGAACATAATTGTAATAATTGTTTCGGACATCAATTTCTCTAGTGAAACCCATATTAATTTATTTGAAATTTATGTTGACATCAATTCTAATTACCACCTATCCAACTTCAATAATAATAATAATAATAATAATAAAAACGTTATTTAAATTTTGAAATCCAAATTCAATAGATCATTCGTTTCTGACTTTCTATGCCAACAAGTTCATACACAATTTTATTTACCGTAAATAAAAAATTGACACACTAAATTCATACACAAAAATTATTTAGCGTATAAAAAAATTCATACACTAAATTTGTATATAAATGTGCTAATTAAGTACATTTCTGAAGACATGCAAATGTGCTTATTCAAACAGAAATAACAATTTGTATCATAAGATACAAAAAAAATTTCTTATTGTACTCAGAGGAATATTGAGCTCGGAGGAAAGGCGTGTTATTTCCCCCTACTTTGCTTCACTCTATTCCATGTACTAAAAGAAAGGAAAAGTCTTACATCCATTTTCCGTTTCTTTTCGTTCATTTTTTTCCCTCCTGTCACAAAAGTTGTAAGAAACCACAAAATCGAAATGCTGTATACTAATCACATTCAATCATCAACTAAATAAAAATTGACATAAAGTTTGCAACCTATTAAAAATCTTCTTTACAAACGGACTTTGCAACAAAATAGATACCATTATTAAAGTAATTTTATGACAAACAAAAAAAAAACTTGAAATGCTCAGTTTGTTTGGATGTAAAATATTTTTTTAGAAAATATTTTTATTTTTTAGTTTGGTTGTCGTAAAATATTGATGAAAAAAAAATGTTAAAATTTAACAAAAATAACATATCCATCAATTTTTGGTAAGTTATTTTACATGCCTACTCGATGAACTCGACTTCAACCTCGATATAGACCTTGTCAAATACAAGAAAAGTAAAAATAAAAATAAGAAATTTTTACTTCGAAACAAAAGAAAAGTAAATCCAGCTTGATTATAATCAGTCTAAACCCTCACAATACTAGAACTAGGAAGTGGACTTCAATTGTAACTGGGAAGGTCAGTCCCTAGTGCGTAGGGTTTATACCTGGTCTGAGCCGTATTAAATTAACCAAAATTTTCGCCCGTCAAAATAATACGTAGTGTTATATCCTGTTTCTCAATTTTGGAATCCAACTTCAATAAAAAAAATATATATATATATCTTTTAAATTTTGTAATCCAACTTTAATAAGTCATCCGGTTTTGGTTCTTTCCAACAAGTTCATACACAAAATTTATGTACGGTAAATAAAAAATTCACAAACTAAATTATGCTCATATACAAAATTTATTTACCGTAAAAAAAAATAAAAATTCATACACTGAATTTGTATATAGATGTGCTAATTTATGCGAAGACACGCAAATGTGTTTATTGAAACAGAAATAACAATTTGTACAGTAAGATCCACTATGTTTTCTTATTGTACTCAAAAGAAGAGATATTGAGCTAGAAGGAAAAGCGTGTTGTATATTTCTCCCTATTTTTGCCTCACTCTATTCAATCTACCAAAAGAAAGGAAAAGTCTTGCATCCATTTTCCTTTTCTTTCCTTCCAATTTTTTCCTTCCTTTTCTTTCTTTCCTTCCACAAAAATTAATATAAATTTTGCAACCTATTAAAAATCTTCTTTACAAACATCCTTGTAAAAAACCTTGATTAAAAGTAAATCCAACATATTTCTAATCAGTCAAAACCCTCACAGTACGGACTTCAATTGTGACTGGGCCATAGTGGCATAATTTGCAATTTGGGCCCAATATAAAGTAGGATTAGATACAATATATAATTTGAAGTCCTGGTTCCAGATCGGCCCAAAAGCCGAACAGGAAAGAGAGTGTTCTGGGCCATGAGTGGGCGTGTTTGGCAGAGAAGCAATGAGAGCAAATGGACAGAGGCACGTGCAAGAGGGTCCATGAGCCACCACCGAGTGGGACACCCATTTCCATCAAGGTGTTGTACAGTATTAAATTATTAATCAATAATAAAATGACGATGGGGTTTATCTTTCTTTGATTTGTTGTTTAAGATAACCCACATGTCAATGGAATTGAATCTATTAATCATGATTATGTGATTAAGAATGGGCATTCGCTGTATGGTAGGCCCCCAATATGCACAAGGAATATGCCACATGAGATAAAAATGTGCGTCTATAAATATATTTGGTAATTACCTAATATCAGGGTTCGAAATACTGGTACCGGATGCCGATCGTGATATAATGAATTTGGGTGAATATTGTTATAAATTTGCCGAATCGATTTATTGATAAGGATGCGTAACGGTATCGGACCTTTAAAAAAAGAGTTACCATGTATCGTTCGATATGGTGAACCATGCCCCATATATGAGTTTGCAACTTTCACTCTCCTATTAAATTATAGGATTAAAAAAAAAAAACTCAAATCTTGGTTGCAAGTACTACTGAGCGTCTCCTCCCTTTGGTATAGGCCTTAGGATAAGAAGGGAGAGGGGGGAAGGTAGGCGCGTTTCCATGCACGACCTCCCCCTTCTTCCCTTTTTTCTCCGTAGGGCGGTACCTTGAATTCCAATCTTCCTCCCACTACGACTCAGATTCCCATGCCAGGGGAAGAGGGGGAGGTTCCGAGGCTCTGCTTTCTTTGTCCTCGCGTTCCCCCAACTTCCAAGCTCCTCGAGCTTCCCACAGCGGGTGGCTAGGGGAGAACAGTCAGTAGAACCCTCGGGCCCCTATCCCGAGTATTGCGGGAAATGAGGGGCCTTTGAGTTATGGTAGGGCCTATCCGGTTGGAGCGGGGCGCCGCCAAACTAAAAGAGTGAGGGGTAGCGACCCTCTCCTCTTATGAGCCCAGTGCTCACATACCAGGCCCTAATTGCTCGAGGTTCTTAAGGCTTCCAAAGTAAAGTCAAATGGGACCCAGTATAGCCCATTCGGTGCTGACCAGTCATGCAATATTATCATTTAATAGGGACACGTGGCGTCCCTTGTGGTAGTGACTATCTACACAGTCAATTTTCATCTTTTAAGAAATCAGATTTTTATTTGAATCAGTCAATAGATAAAAGTTTACTAGTTAAAACTCAAATTATTTTTAATAATGTGTTCTCCAAAATGTTTACTGGTGCTCAGCAAATTCACCATGTTTCATTAATAATGAAAGTTCTATAGAATTTGGAATCTGATTCACCATATTTCATTCCCAGCCAAGTGGCATTCATCAAACTCACCATGTTTCATTCTATATATACTCCATATTTATTAGTATCATCTCTTTGTATTTCTCTATCTGGATCTTTGGTGTGATTGAATCGAATGGAAAAAAATAGTGTAGGTGCAAATAATTCGTCTGACTAAAAAGTCAAAGGAATTGATACAACTCACTCGAGATAAAAAAAAAAAACAATTAATAAGAATAATTCAGAGAGAAGCTAATAATGCTTGATGCCCGTTATTAGAGGTCTACGCTTCTATTTATATACAAAAAGAAGATAGAATTATGGTAGGACTCGTATTGTTTGTCCTTTAATTCATTCCATATACAATTCCTTACCAACATAGTTCTTCCCTTTCGTAGTTCTTCCTATACCAAGTTTCCTCTATCCAGAGTTTCCTTTTATGCAGAATCCTTAAGTAAAAAGAATTTGATTCAATTAAATTGGATTTGGATATAAATGGGCCGGCCCATAGAGCAAGAAGCTAATATGGATAACCAGTCTTCCGGCGGCTTTATTTGGACTTTGATGGGCCAGTTTGGAGAAGAGTTTGAATTTTGACTTACTTCAATGAAGTGGCTAATTTTTATTGGTGGAGGGATTTTTCCTTCCACACTTTGTCTCAAATTCCCTCCTAAATTGAATTACAACTCCTAATTAGAAGGGAATTGATTTTGCACAGTTGCCAACTTTTGCAAGAGGCAGTGTTAAAGAGTGGCCATTTACATTATAACCAAAGTACTTCTTCACAGCTTGTTCTTGCCTTTGCTACGTTTGCTTCTTCGTCGTGACACCAGGTTAGTTCCTCATTCACCTTTTTTATTTAGTACCATGAGCACTTCATCCACCCATGATTAGATAGAAATTATAGATTCCGAGTCCACTCCTTCATCATCTCCCACTTTTCTTAGAGTTCCCCCTCCTAGGGTTTCAAACCCTCGCGAATCTGCTAATGAATCTGTCGTGCGAACAGGTAATTCCGCCCCACAGGTAGAAGTGTCTACTTTTAGATCAGTTAGCATTTTCTCAAAAAAGGAAAGAGAAATGGTTTTATCCGTCCGGCGTATTGATTTCTCCATTAAAGAAGTGATGGAGGAATTTGAGATCCCCAAATGAGTAGAAATTGTTGAATACCCAATAAACGCTGATTTCAGCTTAGTAAGGGTGTTGGAGAGAATGAATTGCTTTTGTCCATCGGACACCTCCATGCTCTTCGCTTTCCCCTTCACCCCTTTTATCACCTAGTCTTCAATAAATTAGGTATAGCCCCTCTTCAAGTAAACCCTAACTTTTTTCGTATAGTCTCGGCTCTTCTTATTTGTCGAAGGTTAGAGAGCCTTGACTTAACCTTTGCTTAACTACTAATCACTTATTCGATTGCCAAACATCAAATTGAGCTCGGCCGCTACTATCTTACTTCCTCTCTGGCAGAGGATATGTAAAGACCTCCTTACTTCCGAGAAGAGATGGAAAAAAAGAATGATTATTGTCAAAGGGAGTTGGTTTGTATCTCAGTTGAACAAACTCCTCATCTCTCGCAAATTTGGGATTTTAGGTATAGAAACTTTACCTTCCCTTCATAAAAAATGCTCCGGTTGCTTCCCATGTCAAATTTTACTTTTTCGTTATATTTATGAATTTCTTGGTGATTTTTCAGCAACATTCCCCTCTTCTACAGCCAAGAAAAGACTTGTTTTCCTTGAAGAGCAAGTTTGGAACGACCCTCTTTCCGTAGAGGACCTTCTTTCCTCCTCCAATCTCAAGGAACTTGCTTCTAGCGCTTCCTCTGCTGATATTATGGATTTGTCACTTCCTTCATTTGACAGTTTTCCTCTAACCGACGAGGAAAAGAAGAGAGCCGAGGCTGTTAAAAGGAAGGCAGCAGAAGAGCAACCCCTTGCAGTCATCCGCTCGACTGAGAGTGAAAAAAAAACTAAGGAACCTCCTCTAAAGAAGAAACCCAAGTTGAACCCTTCTTCTTCGAGCAAAGGCAAGGGCCTTAGTCTTTCCAAGAGTAAGGGAAAAAAGCTGAAGAAGCCGATCCTGAAGAAAAGGTTAGAGCTTTCGTCCTGGCTGAAACTGGAGAAGCTTGGAGGCCTACATTCTCTTGGGCAGACAAATCAATACTTCATTCTGGAGACTCGGTAGTCACCGACCCCTCTATCGTATTAGCAGTCGCTCGTGGAATGTGGCTGCCCAAAGATAAGGAGATCATTGGTAATATGGGGTTAGATCAGTTGCTTCCTTCTGCCCCAGTCCATGCCCTAGAGGTTCGTCCTTTATTTATTTATTTATTTTTTTTACCATTACCATATTTTCCCCTTTCATCTTACTTATACTCTTATTAATCATGTAGAGTATATACCACACCATGGCCTTGTGTGCAACTGCTGAAGCTTAGGCACTTTCCATTCGAAAGTTGGAAAAAGACTTGGCTGCTGCTGAGAAGAAGCTCTCTAATGCACACTTGGATGTAAGATGGTTCATTATACGAGGGACGTGTACAAAGGTCGGCTTGCCACCGCTGAAGCCAAACTAAAGGAGCTGGAAGCTGAGAATCTTAGCTGAAGGGAAGCAGTTAACACTTGCACTACTGCTGTAAAACACATGCAGGAGCGTTATTCCTCTTTGGTGCGTTTATCCAGTGCAAAAGCCTTCCGGTTTGGCTTCGCTTAAGGCTAAGGCGAAAAATTAAAGGACCCGGATGCTTTTGATGTAGATATGAAGGTGTTCTTTCCTTACGCTGAGGCTCCGAAGGCCCACGAAGCTGAGGTTTTATTCGCTGAGATGGTAAAGTCCAACCAAAGGGATCTTCCAACTTTAAGCTCAGTTCCTCCAGCTTCATCTCCCAGCCCGAATGTTGTTGATGTTTTTGACTCTACTCCTTTTGATCCCAAAAAGAAGTAATTTATGTAATTTTGTTTCGAACTGATGTTTTTTGTGTTGTAAACAGTGGCTACTCTAACCTTCTTTATTCAGCATGACTATTCTTTAGAATTTCCATACCTATGAATCTTTTAACTTTGCATATTTCTCTGAGCAATCTTTCATGCCTTATTTGTTTCAAGGTCTAAGGACACAAAAATGATAAAAAACAAGAAGAGGGTTTCCGTGATATCTAGGTCACTACTGAAAATTATGGCATCACTCAATGACTTACCTATCAAGGGAACCCTTCTTGTTACGTATTAGTTTGTAATATGTGTATATCAAAACCTCCTTGTTCTTGTATTTTTTCAATGTGGGATAACTTGTCTAAAAGACTGTAGGCAAGTTGAACTAATTTTGTAATTGATATCTTTTAGATCTGAAGACTATCCAAAAGATAAGCTTAAAAAAGAGTTACCCATGATATGTAGATCTCTGATTGAGCAATTTCACTTGAAGATCTATTTATCAAGGGGCATTTTCCTTGGTGATCATTAGTTATGGGATACAGCCATACATGGCATTCCCTATTCTTGTTTGTTTCCGATGTGGGACAACTTTCTATGGGCTTAGCACTGTTGGGCTACGTGTTTAAGCCCAATGTTAAGACATTTATAAAGAGTACTTAACCCTATTTGGGTTTGGACTTGCTGGTCTCTTCGGACTTTGAGATCCGAGGTATTAGATTCCTCAATAGCTGTATAGGGTTTAGAGAAATATGTTGATGTCTTTGGATGCCTGAGATCCAAAGCTTATTGTCCCTCGACTATGTGCATTAGGGTAATTCAGCGATGCTTTTGGACACGCGAGGCCTAAAGCTTGGTGTTTCTCGGCTATGTGCCTTCGAGGAATTTAGCAGTGCTCTCGGACACTTGAGGTTCGAAGACTTGGTACTCCTCAGCTATGTGATTTCGAGGAATTCAGCGATGCTCTCAGACACTTGAGGTCCGAAACTTGGTGTTCCTCGGCTGTGTGCCTTAGATGAATTCAGCGATGTTTTCGGACGCTTGAGGTCTGAAGCTTGTTGTTCCTTGGTTGTGTGCCTTAGAGGAATTCAGCGATGCTTTTGAACGCTTGAGGTCCGAAGCTTATTGTTCCTCGCCTGTGTGCCTTAGAGGAATTTAACAATGCTTTCGGATGCTTGAGGTCCGAAGCTTGTTGTTCCTCACTTGTATACCTTAGAGGAATTCAGCGATGCTTTCGGATGTTTGAGGTCCGAAGCTTGTTGTTCCTCGGCTGTGTACCTTAGAGGAATTCAGCGATGTCTTCGGACGCTCGAGGTCCGAAGCTTGTAAAAGAGAGAAAGACCATGAAAAAGAGTCACCGAGACTATGCAACTTTCCATATATGTGATTGGAAGTCGGTTTGTCTCGGAGACTTGTTTTCTGGCACTTATCTATAGTGTAGTATGGGTATATTAACTACACACTTTTTAATCCCTAATCGATGTGGGATAAAACAGAATTAAATTGCAGGCCAGGAAATCTGGGCTTACAACAAAGAGTAAACAAAAAGAGCAAATTAAGAAACCAATAAAACAAGTAACAGAGACTGGCTAGCCTTTCAAACCCGTAGTGAGAAATCTGTTTGTCTCAGATACTCGTTTCCAGGTGCTTACTTGTATAGGCAAACAACTATATTAACCATATTAGGTTTCTATGTTTAGTCGATGTGGGATTAGAATTTTTGTATGGGCCACATATCTTGGGCTATGAAAAAAGAGTAAATTATTGCAAAGAGTGCCCGCTAGTACTAGGGCTTGGGCTCAATCTTTGCTGGGCTGTTTGTGCCACCAGTAGGCCCACTTTGCAATATGTTTGCATACTTAAGTGTATGCCTACTTAAACACCTTTGGTAATTTATTTTTTTATCGATGTGGGACATTGTACACATTTGTTTTGTCTTTCGTAACATCTTATAATATCTATTAGGGTATCAATCTTGCCCCCTTTTATGAAAGAAAAAAGAATTAGATAAATGGTACCCCACATTGAATAAAAAACGAAAAATTTAACATCTATTAGGGTATCTAATAATATCTATTAGATATACTTGTGTTGGTTAAATATTTTTACATCATAACGAAGATGCTAAAGGATGTAGTAATCCAAGAATTTTATTACGTAGGCCATAGTTGGCCATATTCGTAAAAAGAAAAATAGAAGAGATGAGTTTCCTTTCTAATGATAGTACCTTTTGAGGTGTATTACATTCCATGGGCATGCAATCACCCGCCCATCAGCTTCAGCTAGTCTGTAAGCACCTTTCCCCACCATTTCTGTAACTCGATAGGTCCAGTCCAATTGGGTTGCAATTTCTTGGCGTGTGCTGTCTCCTGTTTCAGCACCCAATCTCCTACTACGAAGCTGCGAAATCTAACTCGTTTATTGTAATTGTTTCATAACTGCTGCTGGTATGAAGCAAGTCGAATTGTCTCAGCGTCCTTCTTTTCTTCCAAGAGGTCAAGGCTATTGGTAAGCTGTTCACCATTATTCCCTTCGAGTAATAGATGAGTCCAAAGAGTTGGGTTTGCCAACTTTGTTAGGATGACAGCCTTAGACCCATAAGCCATTGCAAAGGGACTTTCCCCTGTTAGCCTTTGCGAAGTAGTTCGATAAGCCCAAAGCACGTTAGGGAGATTTTTGTACCATTTAGACTTGAGATGCTCCAATTTCTTCTTCAAACAGTCGAAGATGGTGCGATTAGTTATCTCAGCTTGCCTATTCCCCTATGGATGGCTTACTACAGCTAACTTCTGCGTGATTCCATGCTCGGCAAAGAACTTCCTTGTGCTCCTATTGTCCAGATTCTTTCCATTATCCATCATAATGACCTTCGATACTCTGAATCAGCAGATTATATTGTTCCACAAAAAGCTCTTCACTTGCTCGAGAGTCACGCTTAAATAAGCTCCTGTTTTTACCCATTTTGTGAAGTAATTCGTAGCCAATAACACGTATTCCTTTTGTTCCAGAGCTTTTGGTAAAGGACCTACCATGTCAATTCCCCACTGAGTGAATGGACACGGATTTGCCATTATATGCAAATCCTCCGCCGGTTGATGCTTCATTGGGCCATAGCGCTGACATTTATCACACCTTCGGGCATATTCCTCAGCGTTTTTAGCTAAGTACGACCAAAAATAGCCTTGAGTTAAAACTTTATAGGCGAGGGCTCTTTCGCTAGAGTGGTTATCGCAATCCCTATCATGTACTTGCCTTAATACCTCAACAGACTCCGTGGGAGTTAAACACTTCAAATACGGGCCTGAGAATAACTT